AAATTAATAATAAATTTTTTATTAGCATAAAAGATGAATATAAATTTTGTGATTTATACCGCAAAATATCCATGCACAGAGCCGCGAAATGGAGTCACAATAGGAAGCGGAAGAAAGCAAAATAATCTTCCAATGGCCTTTCTATCTTTAAGCGGTAATGCGATACCAACATTTGGAATAAATTTATATGTACTAATAGATTTCTTAAAATTAGATTGAAAATAATTTTCCGCAGCATTCAAATCACCAAGACAAGTAAAGATAATCCATTGATCCATATGAGGATCATCGTCACCACATTCTCTGCAGAAATTTGCAATAAACACAGATTCCAATTCCATAGTAATCTTTGGTCCTATTCTCTTAGTAAGAGAATCCACCATAGGTCCAATGCATTCAGCAATTCTTCTTCGTTCTGCACGAATTTTCTCTGAATTTGTGATTTTGATTGAGTAAAGTAATTTTGGTTTGGTTTCATTTTTACCAAGTTCAAAGAATTCAATACTTTCAATATATTTTAAAAATAAAAGGCAATTAATGCTTTCATTCTCATAAAAAGTTTTAAACATTTCCAAGATTTGATCTGGGGTATAGGCTTTTTGGGAAATTTCCGATTCTAATGCATCTTGATCAGTGCGAAGAGGATAGCGGAATAAAGAGCCCTCAAAGCTTTGGTCGCATGGAACACGAAAAGGAGCAAATTGTTCCGGATAGCGTGTGGCCAATTTATTTTTGACAAAGTCAAATTTTATACCACCTTTAAAGTAATTCTCGTGTGGATCAAGAATGAGAATATTATCACCAGTAATAAGTTGGACTATGAAATAAAAAGAAAAGGATAAGTTTACGTTTAAGAAAAACTTTGAATATAATATTATCTATTAATTTACCAGTGTCGCAAATATGATAAACACTATTAAAGCCTACGCCCATAACTAAATTTTGTAGATGCATCAATAAAATTAGTAAAGAATTTTTGTATAATAAATGAGAAACTCATGCGTCATAATTATACATTACCGCCAATCTTATCAAATTGATCATATTTTTCACTATTTGCTAATTTCTTTAAAGATTCAAAATCACGCTCTTCAAAAACTGTATCATTTCTTGCTAAAAGTGCAGGGCCTTGATAACGATCCAACTTCAATTTTGTTTTATTACTTTTTTTCACAGGTTCAAATAAATGGTTAGATTCATAAGAGTTACGGTCAAGTATAAAGACCTGTGAACTACTTTTTGCATCGTCAGAATTTTGAAGAATTTCTCGAATAATTTGAGATCCATCTGGATATTCTTCAAGAATTTTGCTAAGGCGATGGGTGTATGGTTCACCAGGTCTAAAAGTTTCACCTTGAGCTATTTCTTCTAATGATGACATTTTTGAAATTATTTGCTGTATCCGATAAAATACGTAAAGAACTAAGTTTAATAAAAAAAGCAAGCTGTAAATACTTGACGGTTAACAATTTTGGAAACAATGACCGTGGTGCACTGACCAAAGTACCCGGCGTGATGCGATTTTCACCTAGTAAAAAATTAGAAATCACGTGAATTACACAATTGTTTACATCATCTGCCACATATAAATAATATTTTAATAAATTGATCTATATTATTTGTCACACGGGCTTTATCAGCATTTAAGTACACAAAAACAAAATCAACCATAATTGGCTGATTGAAATGTGTCTTTTTTTCGATTTTAAGTAGCTTATGCGTTTCACAATCGAATTGTACAAATATGTATTGATATTTTATTCTGGCGGGAAATTATAACTTTTTAGGATATGAATATATTTTTTATAGAGTAATACAGTAATTATTAACGATTAGTGACTAAAGTGTTCGTGGGTGTAGTACCACAAATTCAAAAGTTAGTGTTAAAAGACTGGGAGAATTTATATAGGTGAATTTATGTAGTAGAATTACTGAGGAACACTTTTTAATTAAAGTGCAGAAGTCAGTCTCAAAGTTAATAAATGCCAAATTTGAGAAAAAGGGGTATGATATTACATACTAGACATGTTATGTTATGGCTTTATATCATGTATGCTACGTGCGTAACATCAAACCAATCAAGGTATCAAGTAAAGATATTTTTAATGTTATAGTATCTAATTC